GTGGTCCAGAAGGTCTGTATGGAGCATCTGGAGAGTCCAGGCTTATGCCTGGTCCTAGGGCCACTCTCACACCAGCCAGGGACAGTGAGGATGGGGCAGTCAGGGTTGGCTACAGAGAGGAAGTGAGTCCTGCAGAATGAGAGTAAGAGGAAAAGGCATTCTGAGTGGGGAGAACGGTGTGAGCAAAGATTCTGAGGGAGGCAAGAGGGCAAGCTAGGCAGGACAGGAGGATCAGAACATGGGCTGGGGCCACATCATTTACTTCATGAGAGGTGGTATAGCGTAGCGTTAACAGTGAGGGTTCCGGAGCCAGAGTCCTTGGGTGTAAATGTGCCATTAACTTACTGTGTGGCCTTGGACAAGTTACTTAACCTCTCAGTGTCTCCATTTCCTTGCGGGTAAAATGGGATAGTATAATACTATTAGTATCTATATTTTAGGGTCATTGTGAAGATTAGGTAAGTTAACACATGTAAAGTGCATACAACAATCCTTGGCACAGTGTAAGCATTCAGGAATTGCTAACTATTACCATCACCAGAGGTATTTAAACAGGGCTCATGACAAGATGATGATCGCATTTCATGGATGCTAATAAACCAGTGAGCCCTGATTTAAAGACCCCAGGAAATAATGGAGTTCTGCGGACTATATCCAGAATTTGAAAAGTCCCATGGAAATCATGTTCTTACCTGGGAGAAGCCTGGCTGCTTAGGCTGCAGCTTTCCCAACTCAGGAGGAGAAATACTAGGAGAAACTCCTGGGCAGGAAAACAATGCTAAGGAAGGCTAGGGGGATGGAGAAGGGTGAAAGAAAGAAGTGGCAAGCTTTGAAGGCTGGGTAAAGTTTGGGCAGCCCTGGAAGAGGAGAAGAGAGGTGTTGCCTTAGGAGATAAACCAGAGCAAAAGCTTAGGTGAGGAAGACTTTCTTTGGGACACAGTGAGGAGTTTCCCAGTAACAACTCCCTGGCCCTCAGACCTTGATTAGAAACCTGAAGTCATCAGACAGATCCCTTCTTCCCTATAAACTAGACTTTCTTGCAGCGCCCTTTGTCCCAGCAGAGATTGCCAAACAACTGACAGCAGGCAGGATTTGATGTAACTCGGGGTGGATATAGGTCTCTGTAGGGGGCTGACCCCTTGGGGGAACTGCATAATGGGATCTGGTACGCCTGGTGTGAGCAGTTCTGCTCCTCCCCAGGGCCCATGGTAGGGTCTGGAGCAAGGGTGGACATTCCTCTTGGTAGGCTAGAGTTTGTCAGTTCTGCTATCCAAAGTGAGCCCCGTACTGTCACTGCAACACTGTGTTACTACTCAGGGGACCCGGGAACTGTGATCACAGATCGAAGCTCTGTCTCAACCCACTTGGAAGTCTTGATATCCTCTCATTCCCTGGAATATACACTCAGCTAGGTGACCTGGATTTAAATCTTAAGTACCACAGTTCAGCCAAGTGATGTTGGGCCAATCATTAAACTCACTGAGCTTTAGTTCCTTTGTCTGTAAAGCGGGAAGTGACTGTTTGAGTGTCCTACTTCATGGGATACTCAATGTACACTGATTAATAAGCCAGGAGTGGAGTCCCTGCCCTCATGAAATGACTGGAAGAAACATTAAATATTGCCCAGAGGATGATTTAATTATACCTATGAAAAGTCCTGCTAAATAAGGAAAAGTGTAGTCTGCAGTGAGGGTGTGTGATGGAGGGACCAAAGCAGTTCTGCAGAGTCAGGGGCAGCATCCCTTGAGGCCGGAATTTTTAAACTGAGACCCAATAGGTGAGAAGGTGTTGGACAAGTGAAAGGGTAGAGGTGGAAGGTTGCCCAGGCAGAGGAAACAGTTTGTGGAAAGGCTCCTGCCGTGAAAGAGCTTGAATGTTGGCAAACTGAAAGAAAGCCAAGGTGGATGGGAGTGATCTGGGGAGGGTGTAGTGCATGATGAGGCTAGAAAGACTGTAGGCAGGGGTAAGGTCCTGAACTAAAGGCCACAAAAAAGAATCTGGGCTAATCAGAAGGGAGGTGGGGGGTGGAGCACCTGGGTGGCTCAGCTGGTTAGGGATCCATTGGTTAAACTTCAAGCCTAGCATTGGTCTCTGCACTGATGGGGTGGAGCCTGCTTGAGATCCTCTTTCTCTCCTCTCTCTGCCTCTCCCCTGCTTGTGCTGTCTCTCTCTCCCCCAAATAAATAGATAGATAGATAGATAGATAGATAGATAGGAATTGGGAAGTCACTGAGAGATATTAAGCAGGAAAAACATGATTTTTTTTTTTTTTAAACAGATCACACAATTGTGATCTTTGTAAAGAATAGGTTCTTGGAGGCACCTGGGTGGCTCATTCAGTTCAGCATCTGACTTTAGCTCAGGTCATGATCTCACAGTTTGTGAATTCAAGCCCTGCTTTGGGTGAGCCCCGCTTCTCTCTTTCCCTCTCTCTGCCCCTCATGGGATTCTCTCTCTCTCTCTCTCTCTCTCTCTCTCTCTCTCTCTCTCTCTCTCTCTCTATTTATCTCTCTTCCTCACTCACTTACACACTTTCTCTCTCAAAAAAAAAAAAAAAAAGACAGAGAGAGAGAATAAGTTCTTGGTGGGGGGGGCTCTTGGGTGGCTTAGTCGGTTAAGCATTTGACTCTTGACTTTGGCTCAGGTCATGATTTCACAATTCATGAGACAGAGCCCTGTGTTAGGTGCTGTGCTAACAGCACAGAGCCTGCTTGGAATTCTCTCTCTCCCTCTCTTTCTGCCTCTTCCCCCCTTGCACATGCTCACTCTCTCTCTCTCTCTCTCTCTTTAAAATGAATAAATAAACTTAAAAAAAAAAAGAATAGGTTCTTGAGGAAAAGACAGTAGTGGGGGAAGGGTTAGGAAGCTCTGGCAGTGAAGACAAAAGGCGGAGCAGAAAGGGAGGAGGGATGGAGGGAAGCACATGTCTTAAGATGGCAGTCAGGCCTTGGTGCCTGGATGTGGGAAGGCAAGGGGTAGGATGGTACCAGGGATAATTCCCAGACTTGTGGCAGGAGTGGCTGGGTAGGTACATGGACATGCATTTACTGATGACAGTCTTGGAGGAGCAAAGGACTTGGGAGGATGTCAGTTTGGAACAGGTGAAGTCACTCACACGGAAGTGTCAGAGAAGTAGATATGCAAATATGTAGCTCAGAGGGGGGACCTAGACTAAAGGATTGGCATTTGAGGATTGTGACATAGAGTGACATAGAGTTGGTTCATAAACATGTGGCCCAGACAAGGTCTTCCAGAAGGAGAGGGTGCAGAGTGAGGAGGGACGAGGAGCAGATTTGAGCCTGAGCTTTCCTGCCAGTAGAAGAGAGGGGGACAGAGAAGGGAGCCTGGGACAAAATGGCCAGAGAGGTAGAAGAGAAGCAGGAGAGTGTGATGCCTCAGAAACTAACATTGACACTGCTTGAAAGGGCAAGTATTAGGTGAAACCATAAGAAATTGCCTTTCCTTCTTTCCTTCCTTTCCTTTCCTTCTTTCTGTTGACCAAAAACAAGCATACTGGCAAGCTTATAGGGTTCAACCTGAATAGACCCAAACTGGAAAAGTAACTCATGACCTTAGACTGAGAAATTTTTGTAGAGACGTTGTAGCAGAAGCCAGATGAACTGGGGAGAATGGATAGAAAGGACACTAATAAGGGAATAGAATCGACAGGATTGGTGATCAGCCGAGTACAGCAGGTAGAGTTGAGAGAGGGTGAAAGCAAGGGTAATTTCCAAGTCTCAGGTTTGGCAGCTGAGTGAGTGAATGGTTGGGTCAGCCAATGAAGTAGGAGGGGGATGTACACTAATCGTGAAAATATTGTTGAGTGTGGGGTAGATGGAATGTGAGATATCTCTGAAACTTCAGAATGGGATGATGAGCTGACAGTTGGACCTGTGGCTCTGGAGCCATTCATTACCATCTATGTGTTCCTGACTCCTACATATGGACTTTGGGGAGTCAAAATCATGTAGGTGGAAATGAACTCAGTGTTTATAGAGGATCTCCTAAGTGCTAGGGTTACATCAGTGAATAAGACGAAGTCCCCCTGTACCTTGGAGCTTATTACATTATATCAGGGAGGTCAGACAATAGGCAAACATAAAACAACATTAAGCTGTAGTAAATGCCATATAGAAAATAAAGCAGGGTGAGGGATTAGGGAGTATGAGGAATACCTATTTTTGGTAGGTTAGTCAGGGAAGGTCTGTCTCAGAGGGCAACATTTGACCAGAGCTCCAGAGGAGGTGAGGGGGTGGGTATACGAAGGAGACAGGTAGGAAGAAACTGGACAAATTCGAGGACCAGCAAGGAGGCTGGTGGGGCAGGAGTGGAGTGAGTGGTGAGGTTGGAGAGGCAGGCAAAGGCCAGACCTTGTAGGGTTTTACAGGCTTTGGGAAGGAAAATGGAAAAGGCCTTTGTAGATAGCCTTTTGTGCAGGAAGAGAGAATTCCTCAAAGACTTCCCCTTCTATCAGAGCCTTGTAGCCAGAAAAGCCCCTTTGTGCGGAGGGTGGGTGGGCCATTCTGGGTGGGGGAAGGCTGTGCTTGGTCCTGGGGCCTGCTCTTTGGGGGGCTGGACAATGGGCCCCTTGTGGTTAGACTTGAGGCCCAAGTGGCCCCCTCAGTGATGGGATTCCTCAGCCAGGAGGCATGTGACCCCAAGACCTTGGCTTCTTGCCTGAGGGTCTGGGCCTGCTGCTGTGGAATGGGGTGGCGAGATGGGGAGAGGTCGGGGGAAGGGTGAGGGAAACCGCTTGGGAGGCCTTCTCCTACGGCAGTGCCCTGTCTTGTCTCAGGCTGAAGGAGGTAGAGAGATGGGCAGGGAGGGGGCTGTGGCTCTGCTTGAGAGAGCGGGGGAGGGCTGGCGAGCTGGGAGTTATGGACAAGAGTAACAAATGGTTTCCACAGCAGGGCAGGAGGGAGGAGCTGGCCGCCCCTGGGCCTAGTGGGTAGGAGCAGGCAGAAGAGGGCCTGACAAACCTACATCTTCTGTGCCTTCAGAAGAGGAGAGAACATGGAGCTGGAGAGGATTGTCAGTGCAGCCCTCCTTGCCTTTGTCCAGACGCACCTCCCCGAGGCTGATCTCAGGTAGAAGCAGCTTTCCTGGGAGGATCATGCTGAGGTCTGGGTTGGAGCTGCTGGGCAGTGCTCCGGGCCCCAGCCAATGGAAAGACTGGGATGGCAAGCACTCAGCTCTATTCCTGAGGTGGGGGAGGGCTGATTATGATTTGCTGGTATGGCCTTACATCTTAACCTGTCCCTGGCACCTTGTTGGACAGGTGGAAAACCAAAGCTCTGTAGGAGGATGGGATACTTTCTGGCTTCAAGACTTGAAGTCTGGCTCATAGACCCAGGGAAGCCGAGGGCTCGAGTCTCAGGCTAGGTGGGGGTGCTGGAGGTATCCCGTGTCCTACCTAGGACTTGTCCTGTCCCCTTCCTGCAGTGGCTTGGATGAGGTCATCTTCTCATATGTGCTTGGGGTCCTGGAGGACCTGGGCCCCTCAGGGCCATCAGAGGAGAACTTCGATATGGAGGCCTTCACTGAGATGATGGAGGCCTATGTGCCTGGCTTTGCCCACATTCCAAGGTGGGATCTGGCTGGGGTGAAGAAGGGGTGGAGGGCTGGCTGATTGTGGAAGGTAGGCAGGGGTGTCCTTTTACCACCCTCCTATGTTTTCAGGGGTACAATAGGGGACATGATGCAGAAGCTCTCAGGGCAGCTGAGCGGTGCCAGGAACAAAGGTGAGCTTGGGGATTGAGCACTTGGGAAATTCATAACACCCATCCCCCAAAGCCCCGGCAAACCTGATGCTCTGCTTCTTTAAGAGAACCTGCAGCCACAGAACTCTGAGGTCCAAGGTCAGATGCCCATCTCCCCAGAGCCCCTGCAGCGGCCTGAAAAGCTCAAAGAAGAAACTAGGGCTTCTTCTACTGCTGCTGGAGACACCCAGGAAGAGGTACTGGTAGGAGAGGGGACTGGTGAGGGAGTCAGGGGCCAGGAAAGAAGGAAGTACTGCCTGTGGTCAACATCTATGCCCACAGGCAGCCAGTGCCGAGGAGGAGCTGCTGCCAGGGGTGGATGTACTCCTGGAGGTGTTCCCTACGTGCTCGGTAGAGCAGGCCCAGTGGGTGCTGGCCAAAGCTCGGGGAGACTTGGAAGAAGCTGTGCAGATGCTGGTAGAGGGGAAGGAAGAGGGGCCTCCAGCCTGGGATGGCCCAAACCAGGTATCCTCTGCTAGACCCCCCCCCCTTCGACCCAAGTAGCCTTAGCTACATTCCACCTTAGTGTTAAGCCCCCACCCCTAGCCTATCCCTGCCTGCTTCTGCTGGTGCCCTAGGGTTTAGATGAAGCTTCCCTTCTCTGCAGGACCTGCCCAGGCGCCTCAGAGGCCCCCAAAAGGATGAACTGAAGTCCTTCATCCTACAGAAGTGAGTCTGGGCTGGGCTGGGCTAGGCCCTTAGAGGGTCATCCCAGGGTGGCAGGAGCTTCACCCAGCCAGTTTTTGGCAGGTACATGATGGTGGATAGCGCAGAGGATCAGAAGATTCACCGGCCCATGGCTCCCAGGGAGGTAAGAGAGTTTATGGCTGCTGGAGGTGTGAAGTGGGTGGGACTCTCTCCTGGCTTCTGCTACTCACTGCCCAATTGCCTCCCAGGCCCCCAAGAAGCTGATCCGATACATCGACAACCAGATAGTAAGCACCAAAGGGGAGCGATTCAAAGATGTGCGGAACCCTGAGGCCGAGGAGATGAAGGCCACATACATCAACCTCAAGCCAGCCAGAAAGTACCGCTTCCACTGAGGCATTCGCCAGACTCTGCTGGAGCCTTCTCGGCTCAGATCCCAGAGGGATGCAGGAGCCCTACACCCCCACACAGGGCCCGCTCTAACTCCTGTCCCCCTTCTCTACCCTGCTCTCTACTTCCTTGCCCCACCATGTTGACCTCCTCTTGGAGCTGCCCACGGGCACAGTAAAGGTGGCCCCAGGAAGATGTGAGTGCATTCTGGTCATTTCTGCCTCAGCTGGGGTGCTGGGGTACTGTGTCTGTCTGACCTTCTCTCCCAACTTCACATCCCTTATCTCCAACACGGCAGCAGCGCCAGGCAAGAGGGGGTAAAAAGCTCTTTATTTGAAGCTCCAGGGTGGGGCAGGGCAGAGGCCTCCACAGTCCAGTTTCCCTACAGTTCATAGTCAGGCCCCCGCCACACAGTCCAGCTGTGACCCATCGGCAGGCAGGTCAGACCTGCAGGTTGACAAAGGGTGCAAAACCAGCCATGTCCTGCAGGAGCACCAGGGCCTGATGCAGCGGCGGCTCCACGTCGATGTCCACGCCGCGCTTCCGCAGGCGGCTCAGGCTGGGCTCGGCCACATGGTGGCAGTGCCGCACCCGCAGCGAGCGCAACGCCGGGCAGTACTCGGCCAAGGTCCTGGGGGAGGAGCCGGGTGAGGCTAGGGGCCAGAAGCTGTTTCGCCCACGGTGGGGGAGCCAGCGAAGCCCCTGCCTCCTTCAAACTCAGAGCATACTTTTTCCCTCCATAAACCTGGATGGGGGGGGGTGGTTATGAGGAGGTCTGGATGGGGTCATACACCAATGTCTCCAGTGAACTCGGGACTTCCTCCTATCTCTTAAAGGGGGAACCTGCTCCTCAGCTCCGCCCAGGATTTCAAGGTTTTCCCCTTGTTGAAAAGAAGCCTGAGAGTCGACTGTCTGTGACATCCGCTCACGCGTAAATACTGGTTCCAAAAAGTTTTTAAACTATGGGTTCTCTGGACTCGGCAATCCTAGAGATCTTTCCTGGTCTGAATGGGGGTGTCGTGGTAGCAGAAAAACCCAGAAACCACAGTTCTGCCTTTTGACAGCTGCACCCCGTCCCTAAACCAGAGGCTTAAAAAGTGATTGCCCTCTTCCCATCCCACCAACCCAAGGCCCAGGCACCTGACGCCGTCGCTTCCGACGCGGAGGCAGCCGGTTAGATCTAGGTGCTCGAGTTCCGGGCAGTTCCGAGCCAACTCCTGGACGGCGGTATCCCCCACATTGGCGTTGACTGCCAGCGAGAGGCTGCGAAGGCCTGCGCCGCGCCTCTGCGCCAGGTATACGATGGCCTCATCCTTGAGCTGACGGCAGGCGGTGAGGTCCAGCTCCTCAAGGGCCGGACAGCGGTCGGCGAGGCCGCGAAGCGCCAGACCGTCTACCCAGTCACAGTGCGCAAGGGAAAGGCGCTGCAGGCGGGGGCAGCCCTCCGCCAGCGCCCCCAGCGCTCGGCGGCTCAGTTGTCCGCAGCCGGCTAGAGCCACGCTCCGCAGCTGCGGATTCCGCGTCAGCACCGGCACCAGATCCTCATCCGACAGCCATTCGTGACACGGTGCTAGGGCCAGCTCCTGCAGCCCCTCAGCGTCCCGCAGCAGCCAGGCCAATGCGGCCCGCGGGATCTGCGGACCCACCTGCGGGCAGGGAGGCACCTCGACTTTCAGCTGGTCCCGAGGGCGGGGCGGGCGCTGCCTCTCCGCCCCATTAGAGTTATTTCCCGGCAGCAACCTGCCTTCGGAGTTTGCCCCCTGACTCCCAGGAGAGACCCCACGTGCCCTCTGAGTTGATACCCGGTAATCGCCCTTTGAGAGTACTTCCCGAAGGGTGGGTCGCTTCCCGGGAGTTCCTGGACGCGCAGAGGGTGGGGAAGGGTAGACAGCTGGGCTGGGGGCTGGGTTGGAGGCGGGGAGGGGGCGGTACCCGGACGGGGGCGGGGCTCTGGCCCCTGGCTCACCTGAGCGGCGTCGAAGCGGCGCAGGCCAGCCAGGTGCAGCTGCACTAGCGCCCGGAAGGCTCGGCTGACGCGCTGCAGCCGGAGCAGCTGGCGCAGCGGCACCCGGCTCAGGACGTGTGGGAGCAGCACGTCTTCCCAAGGCAGGTCCAGGAGCCTGCGGGTAAAGGGGCGTTGGCGGTGGCGTTCCCGGGCCGCTGTTACCTGCGAGTCCGCCTCTGTTATGCTTCTGCGCCCTGGCTCCTAAGAGCGACCCCCAAACCCGGCCCAGTCAGCTCCCTTCCCCAGGTCCTTCTTCCCTCTCTCGGCCCCTCCGGTGCTCGGTACCTGACGGCTCCGGGCTCTTGCTCCCCTCCGGACGGCTCCATCGGTGGCTCCATCGGCGTCCTATTGCGCGTGCGCAGTAAGGTCCTCTCGCTTTGGCCTTGGAGCGGCCTCAGCGAACCCGCCTCTTCGGGCTGTAGAGACAGACCGATTCAATCGAGTGTGGTCTCACTGAGGATCCTATCTGAAAGCGTTCCGGATGGATATCAAAACTGAGGGCCGAGCCGACCGGTGGGGTAACATCAGACCTCGCCTTCTCGGCTACAGGGCTTGAGACCTGAAGCTGGAGAACGCGATGGTGCAGCAGAGACTGGCTCTTTTTTCGTCTTGGGCCAGTGGCCGCCGCTGAATGAAGTGGTGATGGGAGGAGCAGGCAAAGCCAAACGCAGAAGGGGCGGAGCCATGACTCCAAGGTTCTGGGCCTATTCTCTGCCCTCTGGTCGCGCTTAGCGACTTTGAAAAATGGGGAGAAACTATCCAGGCTTTTACTGTCTCGTGTGTAGTAGGTGCCCAGTAATTTGTTGAATGAATTGAATGGGCGAAGCTAGAATTTTTCTTCCTTCATCAAGCAAAATTGCCCAAACCCTCATTCCTGGTTAGTTGTCAAGTACAGGGCTGTCCAGCCCCTTCCACTCCCAGACGATTTGGAAAAGGTTTGCATCTTTAGGGGAGAGGCGTAGAGGGCGCTAAAAAGGACTATCTTCCCAGCTGGGTCCCTTTCTTTTCCCCAGGAGGTCTAGAGTCCTGAGAACAATGAGTGCTCAGCCCAGCCCACCAGGAGTACCGCTTCTGGGCTGACCTGGGGATTAAGCTGTAGGGTTTGGGGCTGGGCCCGCCCTGGGGCAGTGATGCCCCAGAACTCCAGGCTCAGACTCTGGGCCACCCTCTCACCGCGTCCACAGTTCCTGGTTCCAGGGTCCGCTCCGGGGAACCTCCAGAGTAGTGCTTTCCCCATCATCCATTGGTGGGGAGAGTATGAAGGACGCTGAGGGCTACTGCTGTC